GGGATATATGTATAGGCAATCAGTAGCAATGAATTTCATCCACGTTGGAACTATGGAAATTCAAGCAAATTATGGAAAATCACGCAATGTAAAAGAGAGAAACGAATTCTAACACTCATCGATACATACAGTTGCCACCTCAATTTCATAAATTTCCATGAATTTCTTTGAATTATTCAAACTACTTGAATTACCTCATTTTCTCGATTTCCACGATATGTCCGAGGTGTATGACTCAAAGCTAAATGATACCCTTAATGTCTTGATTTTCTATATACTTCCTTAAATTTCTTAAACTACTTGGATTTCCTTATTTTCTTGAATTCTATGGTACTCCTAAAGTGTTTGGCTTAAAGTTTTATGTTGACCTAAATTTCTTGAACTTCCGATTTTTGGATCCTAGGTACCGCCATAAAATGGAATATAAGCTGCAATTCAGTTGAATCGAATATTTCCAAATGGAGCATAAATAATTGCGACTGTGCCTGCAAATACTGATGAAACCTACATCCTTAATTCTATAATTCTAAGAATTTTATGTGAAATATAAATTAAAAATGATTATTAAGGAAAAGAAAGAATGAATAAGAACGCGTATATAGATTGTACACTATCTAAAAAACGTATTTGTTTTCTAACTACGTTATAAATGTCGTTTAGAATTTAATAGTTCATTGTAGTTTCAATCAGCAACCCATTTATGCAAATAATTCTATTTTTTTGATAAACGTTGATTTAATTTGACAGTAGTCGACATTGATGCAGAATCAGTTGAAATATTAGGCTTATTATTATCATCATCATCTTTAATCTCAGGAAGACTTTTAGATATCATTTCTAATGTCATAAATGAGTTGTCTACTGTTGACATTAAACCATTAACCGCATGACAAACACTAGTTCCTATACTGTGGCCACCGAGTATTACATTGACTTTCTCCAATCTTTCCTTCGTTGCTTGTAATTGTTGTCTTTTAGCACGAACATATGCATCTTCAGCAAGATATGAATCAACAAAGTCACATTGTTCACTAGGAACACGTCTTAAGCGTTCTCGTACACCAGGGCAAACATCAAAATCACATCCTGCGCGTAAATGTAATGCTGCATAATCTGTAAATCGTATGGTCAATGCTTTCCAATATGAATATAGACTGGTTAGCATTTTTCTTTGTGATTTTTCTTCGATCAGTAAAGAAATCAGCATTGATGAATAATCGGGATCATATAGTTTCTCTTCCTTTTCAAGTGAAATTGCTAGCTGTAAGTCATTGGATTGTCGATGGGCTGTGTCGCTCTTGAATCGCTCAAGTTTGCATATATATAAAGGATTCAATGTGTATGGATTATGTCTTTCTAATCGAATCAATTCGTTAAATTGATCATGAATTGTTTGTTTTTTTTCATTCAAATATAAAGCAACAATATCACGAAAAGGTGGTATCAGTTTTCTTAATAAAATATCTTTTTGACATGCTTCGCTGTTAGCATCCAATAATAATTTCTCTGTCATAGAAAATGATTCGTTAACAAGAGCACCGGTAGCCTCTGCCAGTTGATCAATTTTTTCACTTATCAAACTTTTTAATACAGGATATGGAAGGAAATTTGGTAATTGTTCACCAGCATACGCCTCCATAGCTCGTTTGACCTTCGAACGATATGCCTCTGAAAACATTTCTCGAGTATATTTGCGTATTATTTCATTAAATTTCATGAATTTTTCATGTAATTTATTGCTCATGGTCTCATGTTGATCATTATTTGAATTCGATAAGCGTTCTTTCAAAATATTTTCGACATAAAAATCAGCCAGTTCAAAATATTTTGCTAAACGAGCTTCAGATGTTTGTAAATCAGGTGGAAATTTTGATAATTCTCTACGAACATCTTTCAGACGGTTTTGTATATCTAGTCTCATTTTTGGAAAGATTTCTTGGACACGATCAGAATATAAATCAGCTAGACGATTGATAAGTGCTTCAATACCAAGACAATGCCATCCAATAGCAGATGAAGCAGGATGTTGATGAAAAAAATCTTTTTCACGTTTGCGTGCATCTTCTAACGATATGTTTTCATCTGTACTACGATTACGAACAGCAACAAAACCTAATGTTAAATGAAGTACATCAGATTTCTCCATTAACAATTGTTGTATCAATACGTCATGATTAGGAGCAAGATCAGATTTAGTTATAACACCAATCGTTCGAATACCTTTAGGATCTACTTCACGTGCTAATGTGAATGACTCAACTGTGGCAATATCAACATTAGCAGGAAAAACACATAAAATGACTGTGCCTTCTTGACGAATAAAGTGCAGAATTAAATCTGTTGTTTGTTTATGAATATCTTTTGGTTGATCACCAATAGGATTACGAGCTATACCGGGTAGATCAATTACTGTTAAATCACGTACAGAAGGATCTTCAACTTGCAATTCAATCAAATCTTTCACTACATTCTTATTGTTGCCAGCTATTTTCTTCGTTTCTTCTTCAATATATTTTAATAAATTCATGGTGGTTTTTTCATCCAGAGACTCTTTTTTATTACCGTCATGTAGACGATATACTTTTCTTTGATTCGATTTACGTAGTCTTAATACTAATGGACATCTAGTAACGATACCGGATCCTTTTGGAAGCTCGACCAAAGATATTGATTCTAATAATGTTGATTTGCCGCTTGACTGATCGCCAACTACAACAACACTTGGAAAACTAATACCATCATCAGTTGATGATAACAATGACCGAATTCGATCGACTTTGTCCATGAGTGGACGAACTTTTGCATCGTACGCAGCTGTAAATGTATTCATTTTTCGAATCGGTTAACTCTAATAAGGAAACAATAGAATTTTGAAAACGATTTTAAGTGCAAAGATAAATGGATGCAATTTAACGATGCACCTGTAAGCTAGTGGGTGTTTGGCTGCGGGTACGAATGATAGGAATATCATACACATTTCATATCCACTCCCTTGGAAGAGAATGCTATAGAGTCTCGAACAATTCATAACAATCCTGAGAAACTTTTAAGAATCCTTTGAATTCTAAGGATTTATAGAGAATTTTTAAGATTCGGGGTGTGCAGAATCCATGTTTTCTCACCTGGATAAATTAAAATACCAGTTGTTTACGATTAGAAACTGAATAGTCTATATGAATTTTACGTAAAGCCCCCGACACATTAGAAGACCCGGGGTCTTCTATTCTGTCTCACCGTTCACAAGTTGAAAGGGGGGTCTTCTGTTATGTCCCTTGAAATGGTCATATTTTTTGGCAGTTTTGCCAAAAAGCTTTATTATCATTTGATTTTTGTCCCTGATATCGTTTACAAATGAGTTTGTTTTACTTGTTTCACTTGTGCAGGGTAAAAAAACAGATACTATCTTGTGAGAAGGTGGAGACCATAATGCATAATAAGTATTCTTAGGGGATACAGTCACTGTATTCCAATATTTTGGTGCGATATCTGTTAGCGTTCTTTTTTAAGGCTAATATCTATCACTGCAATATTTTGTTTTCTTGATAACTAAATAAGTGTAAAAAAGAAAGTTACTTTTTTTATCAAAATCGTTTAATTCAGTTACCAATGTTAAAGCTTGATTAATCTTTTTCCCTTCCTCTTTGCACAACATAGAAGTCCAAGGTGTGGTTCTGTTTCGTAAGCTATAACTTGGCACCGATGCATGTCCCGATAAGAGTTTTTATGTTATTTGATAGAAAAATATTTATTTTTTGATTGTTCACCGGTTTTGGTTCATTTTTCATAATGTGAACCTTGACTGTCAACGGAGAGTTCTAACCCACCGAATGGGGCTCTATTCTGTGATGGAAGAAGTTTAGTATAGATAGAAATCGTTTACGGTGAAATCTCTTACCAGTGTAGTTATAAATCTCAAGCTAACTTCAATAAGTATGATGGTCTTATAAAAAACTATTTCTAGAAAATCTGTGGTTGAATATACAATTCGTGTTTTCTTTTGTATCTGTATCGAAGATGCTTTTGTGGCTTACGTAGAAAAGAAATAGGCTCGTTTTGCAAACTCTAAAGAAGTATTCATACATAAAACCATGACGTACCTACATGAAGTTATATTTGCTTTAGTTATGAAAAACTGTTTAGGATTTAAACGCTTCTACTCTCGAAGAAAGTCAAATATAGAGAGGCCGTTTTGCTAATATACATCAACATTTTACCTAATCTTTTATTAATTTGTAAAGGTCTCTTCATGCGTTATACATGCGAAAATGTTTCGTACTCGTTAGATCTTTTTTTGGTAAAAGCATATTTTTCGCGCATAGAAAGTGAAGAATATTTGCAAATTAAGTTGCAAAGGAGTACTAAAATGATTACGCGAGATACTGTTAACAAAGAAACACAATCTTTAATAGATAGATCTTGCCTATAAACTACTTCGCAATACTTCACTCACTGGGATTTCACACTGTGTTATAAAAATGAAAGAAAAATATTTTTCGTATTGAATTTAGACATAACTATGAATTTAAATATTAAAACAATTCAATAAAATCCAGGAACTATTTTAAAATGCCGGTTTTTTTAAGCGGAAGGAGGGGGTCTTCTATTATGGGGGGGGGGGGGGGGGGTCTTCTTATGTGTCGGGTGCTTTATAATGTATTCGTAAAACTGAAGTAACAACTGGTGCTATAGAGCTAATCACTTCACCGCATCCGATTCTATGCAAACGACCTGAAAAACTACTAAGAAAATTGGATGAAATAAAGTTTTCAATTCATTCATATCTCCAGTTCTCGCAAAATCTAATTAATTCTTAGGTGTATGATAATGTAGGTTGGGTATTTCCACCGGATCTCAACCACACTATACAAAAGTAATCTCCGATTTTGATGAAATTTTTAGCGTTTGTAGAGCGCTTAGGTCTAAGGATTTTGGTAAAAAAAATTTTAAAAAGCTTTGGTTTTCATGGAGATACATCCAAAATACTATTATCAGGAATTATCAGTAAAATGTGAAAAACGGGTTTTCTACATAATCTTGACTTATGGTTTTTGATAGCTTTCTTCACTAGAACGAAGTTAAAAATAAAATGCAACACCATATTCGGATTCCTCGTGAAAAAGCGCATCGAACCATACTAGAGTTGATTTGAGATCCGAAAAAAACTGTGGCTCACGCTTGCCTTGACTGATCACCGGCTGTACAAAAAACAGAGCTCTTGATTATTTCAGAAAGCCGAATTGCTCGATATAGTGGTGTAGTGTATTCGATAGAGCGTTACTTGTTCTACAAACCTGTTAGTTCAGAATTCTCCACCCTTTTAATTCGGTGAAATATTGGAAAAACATTTTGAAATAGGATTAATTTTACCTAAGATATAGGTAATGCAAAACTAAAGCAATTTGTTTTTCGTTTTCTATATACATGGTTAGATAGAGCTCGTTGAGTTGAGTACGATTATATCTGTTTCAATATATTTTCAAAATATTTTTGATTGTAAAAACTCAAGTTTTTTCGATAACTCTCAGTAGTCCATTTTTTCAATAAAAACCCAGAACATTGCTACATTCTTAAAAGTATTTTTCAATTAAAAAAAAGTTTCGTTTTATTAGAATTTTAATAATAAGATATTCAGATTCCTCATGAAAAACTGCGTCGACTAGACTTATTTCTGATTGTTTTTAGTCAGCATATGCTTATCGAATGAATAAAGACTGACACTATAGCATTTTTTTCGACGTTTCTCTTAAAGTCAGACTTGATTCATTTGATAAGCATATTTTCACTAAAGCAAATCAAAACTTAGTCAGAAGTAGATGCAATCGACGCAGTTTTTCATGAAGAAAGCGAATATGATGTTGGATTTTATTTTCAAGTCCGTTTTAGTAAAGAAAGCTATCAAAGACTATAAGTGAACATTATGAAGAAAACCCGTTTTTTTTACACTTTACTGGTAATTCCTGATAACAGTATTTTGGATGCATCTCCATGAAAACCAAAGCTTTTTAAAATTTTTTTATCAAAATTCTTAGAACTAAAAGCTCTGCGAACGCTGAAAATTTCATCAAAATCGGAGATTACTTTTGTATAGTGTGGTTGAGATCCGGTAGAAATACCCAGTTGGCTTTTGACATATGGAAAAATCTCTTTAGCCTTAAAAATTCTTTTAAGAAGGTGTTCAATAAAAATGAATGAGAAAGACGAGACATTCCGGTCAGACAAAAGTTTTGAAAAAAAACGTGTTTAAACGCACAAATGGAACCGCGATTGTAGGTGATTAACGCTCATTTAGAAAAATGCGCGACAACGCGTTTATCGGCGTTTTTTCTAACTTTTTGGGCGTTAGAACGATCACAATATCAGTTTCCGAGCGTGAAAACGCATGGTTCTTTAATCCTAAGACAATAGAGCTTTTTAACACCCAAAATCCGGGATTTTTCGCGTTAAAACGGCCAGAAAGTTACAAAAATGCCAATAAACGCGTTTTCGTGCGTTTTTCTAAATGAGCGATAATCACCTACAATCGCGGTTCCATTTGTGCGTTAAAACGCGTTTCTTCAAAATTTTTGTCTGACTGGGATACCGGCGTCTATTGTACTGATTTCTTCCGACTTGTTCGAATGTTGTGTAAGTCAGATAAAAACATTGTTGATTAAACAATTTTTTAATCAATTTTTTCATCATAGCAACCTTTTGAATCTGTGTTTGCCTTTTTTTTGTTTGTTTTTCATTTTTAATTATTTTCATCTACAGACTCTTTTTCTAGAAGCACTGTACATTGCAGCAGTAAAGCATATCAGGTAAACAATACGAGACGATTAATTGAAAACAATCCCAAAATGGAAACCATATTTGTACAAAAAGTTTCAGTTTGTAGAAAGCGTATGCACTAAAATTTATCTAATGTGAACACCATCAGGACTAGCAAAAAACGTTCAGTATAGCAGGGTGACCAGATAAGAGTCCTTTAAGCAAAAGCAATGAGACCAGAGGTGCCAATTTTGCGTTCCGTTCCTAGAAACCGGGAAGACAATATGCACTTTTTCCACTTTCTATGTAAGCTTCACCAATTCATTAAAGGAACTGCGATTTCACTAGAATCATGGGGTCTGAATGTGGGGTGTGGTAATTAATTTTAAGCCCCCCCCCCTCCCCCCCTCAAAAATCCATCTCAGCCCAGAAACATTCACATGGGCTGAAATTTTGAGCATATGTTGGGACTGATGTGACGAGGCTGTGATAAAATTTTCAACTTGATACACTGAAGTTTAACAGAGATATGAATCAAACAAGGGTCAACAAAATAGCTCATTTTCTGTCCAAGATTTCTCGGTTCGGGCTCGGTCAATATATTTAAGTTTTTTGTTTTGTTGGAAAGAGCATCTCAGGATGTAAGGCATTATAGAGTGCTTTTTTTTAAATTCGTACTTTTTTAGCGGAAAAACGGGATTACAAGTTCAATGGCTAAAAAAAAGTGCAAAAAATTGATGTCTGTATTGGTATACATGGTAAAAAACAAAACTTAATTAACAAAGGGACTCTATATTGCCCTGCATCTCGGCGCGCTCTTTCCAACAAAAAAATTTAAATATATTGACCGAGCCCGAACCGAGAAATCTTGGACAGAAAATCAAAAACTCATAAGCTGAGAAAAAACGAAAAACATTTTTGGATATTTCAAAAAACCGCTGGTTTTTCAAAAACTGGTTCTCTGAGATTCTGAAATATTTCGGGAAAAAACGGAGGTTTTAGGGAAAATTGTTATTGATTTTGAAAGAGCAGACGACGGGCTATTTTCCTATGTATTTATCTCAATTTTGACAGTTCTCACGAAAATTGACTTTTTTTGAGGGGGAGGGAGGCTTAAACAGGTCGATCTATATTTCTTGAAAAATAATCTAAAATAATCTGCTGCTCTCAATTTTTACTTTTCTGCAACCGACGAAGTCAATAGTCTATTTTATTGAAAAGAAATTATGCTTGATTGAAATCCATTGGATAAGAATTATGCAGTTGTATTTTTTTACGTCGACGCGTTTCATGAAGCAGTCATCCTATTCCGCGATGTTGCACATTGCGGAATAGATTCCGCCTCCGGAACCAAATCCATCGATTCCGGAATCATATCAAACCTTCACTAAATTCGATTTCGGAAACGCTTTTAACCACTTCTACGAATTTCTAAATTCATTTCACCAAATCATAGCGATTCCTAGCAACTCTAGAATTGCTATGTAGAATGTTCTACTGTCATCTCTTAAAGATCTAATGATGATCCTATTCCAGAATTTAATTACGGCTTGCAATTCCGGAATCGCTACGAATTAGTTGGAATTGCTAGCGATTCCTAACAATTCCAGAATCGCCGTGTCTACTATTCTACTTCCATCTCTTATCCATCCCATGATGATACAATTCCGGCTTCCAGTTCCGGAATCGAATAAAACCGGAATCGCTAGGAATTACAGGAAGATGCTACCAATCCGAGTAGTTTCGGAATTGAATATGGGAACCACATGGAATAATATGGAGTAGCGACTGCTTATTATGAGCAATATGTATGAGTCCGAAATTGATTGCGGTTAGACGGAATCGCTTGTAATTCCGCGTGATTCCGTTGCAATCCAGCTGCAAGCGATTTCGGAATCGCATCTAGGAATCACATCGAATGATATGGTTTAGTGAGTGCTTATTATGTATAATATGAATGATTCCGGCATCGATAAGAAATACATGGAATTGCATGCGATTCCGTCTGATTCCGTGTAATTCCTGGTGAAAGCGATTCCGGTATTTCGTCTGGGAATTACATGGAATCATATGGGGCGGGTGTGGGTGTGGGTGTAGATTTGGGAAAGAAAGACACACACCCGCATCCACATTCACACCCCACACCCTCGTGCAGTGAAACGGAGAGTTGACACTCTTTATGATGGTCCACTTGATCCACCAGAAGCTCAGTGGTTCTAAAATAACGCTAGAAAACGATGCGGAAAAATCGCTTAGAGTTATGAAAAAGACTCCAGAAGTTTGACTCGTTGAATTTTGTGTGTTAATAGTAACTCAAAGAGTGTGTGGCAGTTCTGAAAAAGACTTACAAAAAAGGCTCTATGACGGTTTTTTTTCTTCATAGCTGATCACTTTTTTCCAAATAGATCGAATGAGGCATTGAAATCGATCAACATTTCTGTGGTGATGGTTTGAAAGAGACAACAAAGAGATGAAAGTATTGCTGACACTTGCATCCAGATTTGTCTTATAAGTACTTAGGTCAGTCCAAAAGTAGTTGCGGAGGTATGATAATCCTTCAAAGGAGGATTCGATAATTTTTTTTTATATACAGTCTGATAGAGAAAAGAAAGCTCTATTTTTCTATGCTATTTGATCTTATTCAGACTAATCCTATGATAATAAAATTTCTATAAGACTTGTTTTGGTCGGACCTGTGCTGGTTGTACTATATCATATTCTGTGTTTCATACGCGTAATATTCTTGCCACTTTCTTTTTTTCTTTTTTTTTCGTCTTCCTCAGTCCCGAGCTCTTTATACATATCAAGATATGCAATGTCTAATGACATCAGAACGAAAAAATATAGAGTTCGCCAAGCTCCTATTTCATCAAATGTTCGAAGTAATCGCCGCGATTATCCACGCATAAGCGCATACGTTGAATCCATTTATCGAATGTTTTTCTGTACTCTTGTTTACTTAAGGAGTTCATGAAGTCGGATACAGCCTGATGGAACGATTCTGAATCACTTTGATCGGGTATATTTTGTTTGATAAAATCGAATAGCCAAAAATCGCACGGTGCCAAATCTGGAGAATAAGGTGTGGGTGTGGGTGGTTGGGTGTGGATGTGGATGGGTGTGGGTGTGGATGTGGGTGGGGTGTGGGCGTGGGTGTGGGTGTGGGTGTGGGTGTGGGTGTGGGTGTGGGTGTGGGTATGGGTGTGGGGTGGGGTGTGGATGTGGGTGTCGGTGTGGGTGCGGGTGTGGGTGGGGGTGGGGTGTCGATGCGTGTCGGTTTGGGTGAGCAAAGACAGCGTGAATCCACACCCCACACTCACACCCAAACCCACACCCACACCCACACCTACACCCAGCGACACCCATCCACACCTCACACCCACACCCACACCTAC